GGACTCTCCACAAGATCCAACAGCTGCTGAACATCTGGATCCTGAAGGTTGTTGTCCCTCAGGTCCAGTTCTGTCAGATGGGAGGGGTTGGACTTCAGAGCTGAGCTCAGAGAAGAACAGCTGATCTCTGACAAACTGCAGCTCCACAATCTGAATAAAGAATAAAACATGTAAGTTTAGAAACAAAACAAAACTTTTAAAAACTCTGAACTCTCAAAAACTTTGATCCAACTGAAAGATGTTTTGATCAAACCTTGAAACAAACTTTATGTTCAATCTCCAGAGATGTTGTGATATCTTGAACAATCTGACATGATTACTTAGCTCTTGAAGAATGTTGTGAATGACTCTCAGCTACTACCACACCACATTTTAGCTCAGTGTCTGTAAAATTCACTGAGCTAAAGACACTTCTGTGTTGGCTGAGGTCAATTAGCTGCAACAACCATCTTGAATGAGGTCGACTCCAAACAGTCATCAGTTTCAATAATTAATCCAAAGATTAATTTTTGAAAGTTTCTTTGAAATCTGTTCAGTGGTTTATGAGATATTTTGCTAACAGACAAACACAACTAGTTTCAATAGTTAATGGCAAAGTTTTAAACACAGATTTTGTGTTATTAGACAGCACTCAGAGTAAAAGATGGAGGTCAGTCTCAGCTACTACCACACTGACATTTAACTGAATTCCAGTAAAATTGACTGATATAAAGTCATTTTGTCGTGGCGGCCATCTTGATTCAGGTTGACAATAAAATAAATCAGTTGTACACACACACACACACACACACACACACACACACACACACACACACATCAACAACATTGTCCCTCCTCCTCCATCAGCAGGTGATAAACATGTCTGACCTCAGAGTCTCCAGTCTACATCGTGGACTCTCCAGAAAACCACACAGCTGCTTCACTCCTGAATCCTGCAGCTTGTTGTCACTCAGGTCCAGTTCTGTCAGATGGGAGGGGTTGGACTTCAGAGCTGAGCTCAGAGAAGAACAGCTGACCTCTGACAAACTGCAGCTCCTCAATCTGAATAAAGAATTAAACATGTAAGTTTAGAAACAAAACAAAACTTTTAAAAACTCTGAACTGTGAAAAACTTTGATCCAACTGAAAGATGTTTTAATGTTTCAAACTAAACTTTATAATTGTAAGAGCCATTTATTCAAAGGAGTTGAAAACTTCATGCAACATTTGTTATTTTTACTGTTTGAGTTATTTCTGTGAATAATAGTTTGTTAGTGAGTTAAAGAAC